CCATTTCAGAGCCAAAATGGATTATCCTGAAAGATTTTAGACAAACATGTTTCATGCACAAGCCAGTATTTTTATGCATGTGTTGGTGTAATACATCAAGGCTTTCTGAACTAGAAGCCTACTGGTGTACAACAACAACACTTCCCACAAAAAGACAGCATGTTAGTCTTTTGTCTGTATACTGGATTTGACTTTTGCTGTTTTAGTGGTTGCTTTAGAAGTTTTGTTTTTGAGTTACTACAGTTTCAGTTTTTACATTAAAACTTTACCAGCTTTTAAAACACAACATTGTTCACGGTTAAACTTTTACCACAAAGTATAACAGATGCATTTGGCTGTGGGGATACTGCATGTCTTTGAAAAGAAGAAGATATTTTAGAACTTTCTAATCTATAATTTCCCTTTGTTTCTGAAAAGAACAAAGATTTGGTAGTAATGATATAGACGATGGTCAATTTCAGTTAATTTCAGTTGTTTAGTAGTTTTGTAGACTTGACCTCCTTGTGTCGACAGCGCTTTGTCCATGCTTCATTTTATTACTGATGAAAGTAGCTGTGTATATTATTATGTGTAATGTTTTCAGACAGTCTCTGCACAGTTTCACTGCAGAAGCAACAGGACAGCAAACTGCTGTGGTTTTTAAACTTAGTCTTCTTCTGTTTTTCTACAAGTTACTCCAACTGCAGAGACTCACAAACCTGTGGAAGACACTTTTGGGGTAAGTCACTGAATGAACCTGTTTACTTGTTTCTTACATTTTCTCTGATCACTCAGGTAATAAAACTAAACTATACTGGAAAAAAACATCTAGGACTCAACAATTTGAGGGAAATGTTTAAGTAGACATTCATTTTCTCACTGGTATTGTGATCAGGACATCTGTGTTGACACTGCTCGGCTGTCAGTTCCCCACAAATTAAATGTTTCATTAATGCTGGGGTGCCACAGTGTTTTTGACAACTCTTCCATTTGAGACACTGTGGGGGACACGAAGTCTGTAGGTCTCACACACAAAGGACACTATTATTTTGGAGGGGACAGGGGTAAGGTTTTCTGGGTCGTGGGAAAGCGGATGTGATATAAAAGACTTTGAACTGTGAGTGAGGCTTGTTGTTAGTGGAGTCCAATAAAGGAGCAGAGACTCAAGCTCAGCTCTCGATTTATGCACAAATATTTGAAAAAGTTTGTTCCAAAGCAAAAGTTAAAATTATAATATTTCCATGTTTTCTCTTAAAATAGAATTTTTCCTTTACATCCCTGTGCAATATCACTTAAATGTAAAACGTTTCAAAATGGTATCACCTTTCTATAAATTAAACCATAGGGTATTTCCTCATAAAGAACAATCGCATATAAATACTTTAGAAATACTATATAACAAATACCAGCCCCAAAGTAAAAACTCAATGCAACAAAAGTGAATCAGAGTCAGAAACACTTTATTGATCCCTGAGGGGAAAATCCACCTGTGATCATTGACACATATGTTAGAAAACCTGTGATCAATGAAGCAAAATTGTAATTTTCAATTAGCCTAATTTTGTGAACATGATTGTTAAATGACCTGTGATGAAAAAATTCTTATTTTTCGGTCAATAGTCTGCATCATGAAAAATAATCATACGCAAAAAACAGAAGCAGAAAAGATTGTGAAACAGAGATCAGAAAGGATATTTAATGATCAGGAACCATCTTCCATCCATCCATTATCTATACACCGGTTAATCCTCACTAGGGTCACAGGGAGGCTGGAGCCTAAGGAACCGTCTTCAAATCAGTAAAACAGTTGGAACAGTAATCAGTTGTCCTGCTAAGATTGAAAGTAAAGCTGGCTACAACATTTGAAAGTTGCAGATGAGATGTCAGCTGTTTGTTTCTGTGCATACATGTTTAAACTGAAATAATCAATCAGCCTTTTGATTAACGTACCAATGATAAGCAAAGGAGGAAAGAAAAAGAAATACCAGAAAGTAAAAAAAAACAGAAATTAGAGATGAGGAAACTTTTGTAAATCCAACCTTTTCCTCTCCTCTATTCACTCTTAACTGTATACTTCTTTCTGCAAATATCCCCAAGTGGCTGCTGAGCCAGGGAGTTGGTTAGAAATGTTCATGTTTGTTTGTGTAAGGGACCGGAAAAAGATAGCTGTTGAAGATTAAGTTTGAAGGAGGATAATGTGTTGAATAATGTAACTAATTATTGTAATTAATAATGTGGAAGATTGTTCTTGTATTATTTTTAGCATAGTCTCCTTTAACTTTAATGTCCTTGGTTTATACCCATGTTCAAGCTTCACTATTCCTCCACAGAAAAATGTCACATTTTTAGCCTCCTTATCACTGCAACAGCATGGATGACTTCATCACTCTGATAATGGCATCCTCATAGAGATGTTGCCAAGTCGAGTGGTTAATAAAAATATAAAAGAAAAAGTTCCCACATGGATAAAGCCCTGCTTATGACACTGTGATTCTGTTTCATTGCACTATAAAAAGACATTTTTTGACAGAACTATCATCATACAAGGTGTGTCAGAAATGTTTCAGGACTGGTGTCACAAAAGATATATTTCAAATACAAACTACACACTGCAAGTGTTCCCCTTTGAAGTAATCCCCCTGGAGTCTAACGCACTTTCCAGCCTTCTCTGCCACGCCGCCATGCACTCCTGGAAGGATTCTTCCAGGATCCTCCACAGCTCCGTCGTCACAGCCATCTTGATGTCATCCACGTCTTCAAAATGGGTCCCCTTGATGACCCCCTTGAGCTTGGGGAAAAGGAAAAAAATCACACAGAGCCAGGTGGGGTGAGTAGGGAGGTTGCTCCAGCACGGGGATGTTCTTCTCAGCCAGGAACTGTGGGATGCTCAGGACATTGTGAGCAGGCATGCTGTCATGATGAAGCAGCCACAACTTGTCCTGCCACAACTCTCACCTCTTCTCGCACACTGAAAGAAGCAAACGAAGCAGGATCTCTTTGTAGACGTGCTGGTTGATCATCTGAAGGGGAAAACTCGTCGTTTGTAGTTTGGGTTTGAAATATATCTTCTGTGACACCACTCACAAGGGAAGAAAAATCCTGTGGAGTAATTTCATAGATAACAATAATTCCCCTTCTGCAATTTATAACATGTTCTTGGCACAAAGTTCTGTGTTCTTATGTTTCTCGTGCTCAGTCATGATTTACTGTGTAGTAAATTGACATATTTTATACACTATACATCAGAAATTAGTACATTCCTGTGCAAGAGCAACTTAATGTCGAAGGTTTCAAAATTCTATCACCTGTCAATAACTGTATTACTTCTAAGTTGACAAATATATTGTTTCATCTTATTAACAGTCAAAACAAAATCCTGTTGAAAGACTTTATTTACAATTTGATCAAAGATTTCAAAAAGAATTGAGTACTTCTGTGATTTTCAATAAGCCTAAATAGAATCAGAAAGTCACCTGACTTCAATTCAACAGAACATTTTTGGGACAATGTGAAAGGACAAGTAGAGCCACACGACCCATCTGCCAAAGATAAATTTATCTGTAATAGAAAGTAAAGGTGGACATACAAAGTACTAGGGGAAAAAACATTTGAATCTCAGTAATCTAACTATCAAAAAAAAAATCAGTGCTCTACAAAAATAGCATCTTTTATATAATGTTTTAAAGGTATTTGTATTCTAAATGACCATAAACTGTATGATTGTGATGATTTGTCTAAATTCTGTTAACCCTTCACCCCGCCTATCTCATCTGCAGGTTTCCATAGCAGTTGGCCTGGCAGGGTTTGCCTGTGTAATGCTGGTAGTTCTATTCCTCCTCATCAACAAGTATGGACGGCGATCAAAGTTTGGAATGAAAGGTAAGAAGATGGTTGCTTAGTGTCTTTGCTCTATCTGTCTGAAGATTTGTTGTGTGTTTCACCAAGCTCACACGATGGGCCTTTTGCTTTGAATGAAGTTTAGAGATGTGCCTGGTATGGAGTTGTGACGGTCAGCACAAGTATTTGCAAATGGAAAGACTACAACTGTAAGCTTAGCTAATTTCTTGGTAAAATTCCTTCAGATTTTTTTTTTTTTAATGTGGACTTCTGAAAAGTCCAATGAGTGATTAGAGTCATGTCAGGAAACAAGACTGCAGAGGTCAAACGTATGTTATGTCAGCATATGCAAGTCTGTGGACATGGAGAACATGATTTTAACTAAAAGAAGAAACTTTTATTGGTGCCATAGTTTATTGACTATTGCAGCACCAATGAGGCAGAAAATCTAATGCTTAATGAGATTAAGACAAATACAATGAAATGTTAGCACTGTTGACATATATGTGGTAAAGTGGGAGGTCTTGTCGATAATATTTTATGCCTCCAGGTTCTACCCTTGAATAAGACAACCAACATACTGCTGGATTGTCCATAAATTTTATGTTGTTAACAAGATGTAAAATTAAATAACATTGTTGTAAAGTACACGATTTTCCTGGGTTGTAAGTTTAAAAAGTACAGTACAGTTTTCCATACCACCAAGAAATGCTGAGTCCATCTTTCCAAAGCATAGACTGTATAAAAGATGGACGTAGCTACCGTGACGTCACCCGTTGGTTTCTGCACTGAGAAAATGAAGCCAGGGTTTTGCTACTTCCTGGTTGACATCTTGGATTTTTGGAGCCAGTGACGCAAAAATTGTCGGAGGGAGGCGGAGCCATAGGAGCAGCGATTGGTCAGACGGATTGAGAGGCAGGCCCTCTCTGCCCGCCCACATTTACCGCCTTCTGCTCGCTTCGTCTGTATCGTCGCTGCCGACTGTCAATCAAGCCAGCCACGCCCCTTGCCCCGCAAAATGTTGACGATTTTTTAAAAATTCAGTATTGATTTATTTTCAGATTGACCACCTGATCTCTGGATTTGACCATGAAAACTAATGAGAAAAAAATCCTGAGCTGGAGGAATGCAGCATTCCGGGATCTGTGATCACTTTTCCAAAGGGCTTTTTGGAGCCGGCAGCTAGCGGACGTCGGTTTTTGACACTTCTGGGTTGGCTTCATTTTTCAGGGCCGGTTGCTACGTCCATCTTTTATACAGTCTATGATCCAAAGACAACAAATCCTTGAAGGGTGTAAATATATTTTCTTTGGTTGGCCTCTAACCTTAACCTTTTTGATCCCTTAGGTTACTCTTCCATAATTAAGCTGAGCTACATGACAATGACTCTACTATCAGACATAGTTCCACAACATCAAAATTACCAAAGAGATAATAAATGATAGCCTGTAAGCTCATGGTTAATTTTACTTTTACAGTCTTTAGCACATGGACTGTGTTGACATCTCCACCTGCTATTTTAGGTCTTGTACAGTATATGCACATAATGTGTGTGTCTATTAATGTATGCAAAGTGTCGAAAGATAGTCTGAAATCACATATAGATCTGGGAATTTGGTAGTTGATACACTCTCAGCCAGTCACAGACAGCACTAACAGCTCTGACAAAGCGGAGACAAGCCCAGTGGTGCTTGACAACAGCAGCTGCACAGCATGAACAAAAAAAAGCCATGCAGAACACTGAGCAGCCAGTCTTGCAGAGGAGTGTGTGGTTATAGTGTAGCACTCACTTACAAGTGATTCTATACTTACCTTCTTCAGGAGGGGAGTGTATAATGTACCTCAGTAGTGACAGTAATCAAGTTTGAGAAAACATAGCACCATGCCAGTGGGGTATAGGAGGACTGCGGGCAGAGTTGTAGTGTGACAGTGTGTCTGGCTATGGTTATTTGTTTTTGTTAAGAGTTAAGAGCAAATGTTTGATTAGGAGTTCCAAAAATGACTATCATTGGTCATGGGTGCAAGTTAAAGTTGAATGTTGAGGACTTGATTTGAAAAAACACTTCCCAATCGGCATAAATCTATATCAGGATCATTATCAGGCTTCTGAATCAGGTGTGTTGGAAGAGGGGTAACATCTAAAACATGCAGGATTGTGGCCCTCGAGGACCAGGATTGGACACCCCTGCCTTACTATGTTAAGCTCTATGTGATGAAATATGTTATAAACTGAGCTATACAAATAAAATTGGATTGAAAATTGAAATATATAGTTCTGCACACAGGAAATAGAGGGGAAGTTCTGATATCTTCTACATTTATAATGAACATCTGAATATATCCCTGAAAGCCTAGATTTGGAAGGATAAGCCATGTGCAATACCTATTGTGAGATTTGGGTTAAGGTTTGGACCCAGTTGCAGACATGGAAAACGGCGTCGTACAATAGGAGATTTATGGTAAGAAAAAGTCCCACAAAGGGCAGTGGATCTTGAGGGCAGGCTGTTTTCGTGGTGGATGGCTGGAGAACGGTGTGGAGATTTCAAATTGGAGCTGAAGACTGAGCACATAGAATGCTGGAGTACAGTTGATCTGAATTAGAGGCAGGGTAGCATAGAGCACTATAGGACCTACACAGGAGAGCACTAGTAGTCAGGAAAATAGAAATCTCAAAGTCATTAGAAGTAGAATACTGAGCTGAACTACCTGAGAGGCCATAGAGTCAATGCTCCAGTACCAACGACACAGCACTGTTATGCACCTGAGTGGAGGAAAGCTCAGGGTTTTATGGAGGAGTTAATGAGGTGGAATAGGGTTCCAGACCAGAACTAGAGACTACGATCTGAAACAGTGTCCTGGGGAATGCACGTAATCAAAACACATATTACATTGGTAAGGTAGCAGCCTGTAAAGCAGAGGACAGTTTAGTCAGGACAGCAAGGTATACTGCTTTGGAAGACTGGTTAGTAGCGGTGGGTATGGTTGTGTTAACTTCAGAGGGAGGAAGAATGGTGACGAAAGCCACTGCAATGTGGGAATGGGGTGGTGAGTGATACGCAGAGATTGAAGGCACCCGGAGGGAGCTCGGTGTGAAGCCTCACTGCAGACACCAATGAAGCTGGCAGAGACAAACTCCTTGGTGTCCACAGAGATAGACAGCCACCAGATCTGCTGTGGAAGAAGAGAAAGGATTCAATGAAACCTGGGTTGGCAGGCAATCTTGATGAATGCCCGCTCCGGAGCACAGAGGATCTAACTGGTTCAGGTACAAACAGTCTGCTAGTGGTGGGTAGTTCTGCTGTGCCTCTTGGACAACCTGCTCAATTTTCCACCTGGCTGCTGAAACCACACAGGAAATGGGGAGATTGGTTTTCACAGGAAAATACTCCTTAGAAGGTGCGAATTAGCAGGAGATGGCTCGTAGCTGGACATTCTGGGATATGGGATAGTAGGTGAGGGAAACGTTAAATCAACTTAGTAGCAAAGCTCACAGACCCTTGCAAGAATTCAACCAGTGAGAAGAACACAGGGAAGGCAGATTTTTTTTTCAGACCAGACCACAAAACCCACCATTAATCCCTCGTATTGTGAGAACTATACCTGGCAATAAGCCTGTTTCTGATTCTGATTCTGATACAGCACAGTGGAACTCTCCAGACAGTGCGTCCAGTCTTGGGGGGCCAAAACCACAGCCACAAGTACTCGGTCTCCGCTGTTGTAGTTTCTTTCTGCCGGGGACAACAGACAGGAGACGAGGGCACAGGAGTGCAGCTTACAGTCAACGTGGGAGCATTGAGAGAGACATGCTGAGCATGTTCTTGTTTGTTGCTGGAGAGAATCAGAATGTCATCTGAAGTTGTTCAGCATGTTCAGAGCACGTCATCTTTGATGAAGGCCTGAAAGACTGCGGGTGTTTGGTAAGAACAAAGAGTATCACTTGGTACTCAAATTGTCCAAGAGTGGTGTTGAAGGTGGTCTTCCACTCATTCTCCTCCTTGATTTTGACAAGGTGATACATGTTTTGTAGATCCAGTTTTGTGAAGACAGCGGCTTGGTGTAGGGGAATCGAAAGCAGACTCTATGAGATCAAGGTGATATGTATTTTTAACCGTAAATTCATTAAGACTTCTGTAGTCTATGCAAGGGCATAGGGCCTTTTCCTTCTTATCCACAGAGACAAAGTTAGCACCAACAGGAGAGGAGGAGGGATGAATGAAAACCTGCAGCAGCGATTCCAGGAAGTTTTTCTCCGAGCACAAGGTGTGGTTGTATGTACTCTGGCTATGACCACCTGTCACCCTCCGTTATTTAACTCCATCTCTAGTTCCTTTGGCCAGTTGTTTTTGAGCTTAGTAGTACTAAAAGGCTTAATTGATATAAGGGAGTTGCACATTGTAGACAAAATTGTTCTTTGATGTAAAGAGAGCAGATGATTGTTTTGGGGTGCGTAATAATCGGAAAAAGAAATTAAAAGAAATATGCCTCAGTGAGAAATAAATGATAATCTCTCTCTCACTCACTCACACACACACACACACACACACTCACACACACACACACACACACACACACAAATGTCAGCATCCAAACTCAAGTTGCATTTGACCTGTTTTAAAAATAGTGAATATATTTAAATGCTGATCTTAAGGTTATGATTTAATGAAAGTTAGTAGCAACAAATGATGTGCAACTCTTACATTTCTCATAAATATGTTATAGCATTTACAGCCTAGCAGCTAAAGTGGAGCCCTTTGACTGCTCTAACTTGGCAGAAAACATTTTTCTGCCTAAGAAGGGCAAAATTGTAAATGACTGTATATAAGTAGTGCACTGCTAATTCAATAAAGATAGTGGGAAGTATATGTTTGAATACATTATTATATCTCTCCTGATAATACGAAAAGGAGCCATAAGAAATACTACTGAAAATATATGAGACAGAGGCATTGTAAACAAGTCAAACTTTAGCAGATGAAGCTTGGGGGAAAAAAAAAGAGTAATACCAAGCATAATGAAAATGAAATGTGGTTTCTCCTGGGAAA